ATATACTTTGACTATGAACAAAAATAAACTGGTATTAGTAATTTTGTAGATTATATTATATAAAAAATTAATTTTTTTGAATAATACCATGAAAAAAAGTGATAGTAATTTAACAAATAGACTAATAATCAAATTTTAAAACAAATTCTCCTCGTGAAATCGTATAGAGTTCATTATATATATCTTTTGTAGTTAAATCTTATAATTATATTTAAATATATTATCCACAAATATTATATCACAACTTTTAACAACAAAGACTATTTGCATAAGTGGATACCAAAAAAAAAAAAAGTCTGATCTTTGTAAAAGATAGTATTCATTAAAAACATTCTACTAATTTGATGAAATATATTATATTTTTAGAAAAAATAAATTGATATAAGTAAATTATACCTTGAAAATAGTAGTAATAATTTAACAAATAAACTAATAATTAATTTTTAAACAAATTCTCTTATAGAATTGTACAGAGTTCTTTATATCTGTCTTTTATACTTACATTTAAATATATTATTTGCAGATATTTTATCACAACTTTCAACAACTTAAATTCTATACTTACATTTAAAATATATTATTCACATATATTTTATTACAACTCTCAACAACAAAGATTTTTGTGCATAACTGGGTACCAAAAATATATATCTCATATAGTATTCATTAAAAAAAAAAATCAACTAATTTTATAATAACCTGCCCACCACTTTCAAAAACATAAATATTGCCAACATCAGAAGAGGATGATGTTAATAACAAATAAATGTAAAACCATAAATATATTTTACTAAATGAAAGAAAACTATTTTCAAATATCGTGTACTTATGATTAACAACGATTACACTGATTTATCCACTGATCAAGAGAATATGTAAATATAAATAATTGCAAAGACGTAAAAATATTTAAATAAAAAATAATAATAAAAAACCTTCAGTACAAAAAATAATGTATGGTTTAAACAATTCTTTTCAAATTTCAAATGTCACTGCAACCTGCAAAAATTAAGTAATCATAAATACGTCATATGAACAAAATTAAGGACTATGATTATTGTCCAAATAGTCTAAATCATCAAACACTAATATAATCATAAATATAAACATTTCAAAGATGAAATTATGCCTCTTCGTGAGAGTAAGTGCTACCTGAAAAAATAAAAATATAAAATATAAAAATATCAAAATTAAAAATAAAGTAAACCAACTCAAAAGATATTAAAAAATGTTAACCATTGATTGTGCAGGAATATTGTGAAGAAGAGAAGGTGTTTGATGTTATGTAAGAAATGTACAACATGTTAAGTGATAGGGTCGTTCAAGTATGAAAGAATACTACGTGAGAATTAGAGTTTTTTTAGTATAAAGAAGATAATGCAGAAGAAAATAAGATGAAGGCAGAAGTAAGGAAACCAAAATGAAATTGAAAAGTTAAAATGAAATGAGATATTTAAATAATATTGAATGTAAAAAAAACTTTGCAACTTCTTGTATTTAAAAAATTATAAAAAATATTATTATAACTTTTTAATAAGTAATTATTATATATATAAAAAAAAAAAACTTTGCATCTTCACCATGAGACTTGTATTTTAAAAAGAAAAATAAAGTGTTCCACTTTTCAGAAAAAATAATGATTACAAAAAAATTTATATCTTCTTTAACAATTTATCATTATTTTTATTTATATTTATAATGTATTGTTTAATCAATACAGCTAATTTAATTTACTTACTCTTTTGTATTTATATTAAAATATTTATAACAAAATAGATAATATAATTAGTAGAATTAAATTACATAACGTAAACATATTTAATTATATAAAAAAATATTTAAGTTAATATTATAATTTACATATTAATTTTTTTCTAAAATCTATATACAGAAAATTGATACTCAATTTATTTTAATTAGATTGTCATTATAATTTTATATTTCCGTACATCCACAATTGCACAACGGGGGCACCATTCATCTGCACAACCGACATCACAGCTCCAGATAAAAAGGACAATGGCAAGAATGAGAAGAGCAAAAAAAATTGTATAAACTCATTTTGCTTATATACGTGGAAGTAGATTAAGATTAAAAAAGAAAAATAAAATAAAATAACAAAAATAAATCTAAAAAAAAGAATGAGAAGAACAAAAAAAAATTGCATAAGCTCATTTTCATATGTGTGGAAGTAGATTATAATTAAAAAAAAAAAAAAAAGAATAACAAAAATAAATTTTACCGTAAGGGGTGGAGTGGTCGCGCAGCAAGATATGGGTCAATGGCGGTGGATGGCCTACAGATCTGCAAATATATGTTGAGTGAATAAAAAAAAAATTAAAAAAAATAATAATAATAAAAGAGAGAACAAAGAGAATAAAAAATAAATAAGTCTTACCAGCGTTTTGAATAAGGCGATGCAGGGTCAAGACGGTGGAGTGCGGTGTAGCTGCAGCTTATGGAAAAATCTGAAGATAGAAGAACCAAGAAAAGGGAGGGTTTGGGACGATAATTATGAAAATAAATTAGGGTTTTTCAACAATTAGATTAAATGTAGTTTTTTTTAGTTATAATTAATATTAAAATATTTTGTGTATCTATCTGTTGTAATTCAGATAAATACTTAATTAAAAAAATTAAAAATTTTATAAATTAAACAAAATAGCAAATCAAATACTTTAACCAATCAAATTTAAAAAAAAAAAAAATCAAAACTCTTAGAAATTCTTACTTTACATATGGGGTCACAAAATGAGTTCAAATATATATATATAAGATAAGATAAAATAAAATAAAATAAATATAAGATATATAAGATTAGATTAGATATATATATATATATATAAACTCTTGAAATCAAATAAACCAATCACATGTATTAATCAATCAAATGTGTTAACCAATCAAAAATTTTATAAAAAAATGCAAAAAAACTACAAATTCATGTTTTTTTTGTCAATGGGAACCCACAATGAGCTCAAATATATAAATATATAAAATAAGATGAGATTATAAGATTATAGTATTATTATAGTTATATTTATTTTATTGAAAATATATAAAATAAATCATAATTTTTTATTATTAGATATTTATTTGTAATTTGTAATTTTATTTTTTATAATTTATGTTTAAATAATACTTCATCTGTCATCCTGTATGCTAATTTGATTGGATAAGAATTTTAAAAAATATATATTAAAATAAAAATTTCTATTTTTTAGAATTAAAAATATATAAAAAACTTGCAATTTTTTATTAAACAAGGAATAGAAATAAATTTAGATGACATGACAATGAAAAAAAAATAAAGTAAAAATAAATTTAGATGAATAATATTTTTTTAAAATATTTAGCCATTGTTATTTATTTAATTATTATCTTTTATAGAAAATTATTATTCGTGAACTTATTAAAATATTAAAATACTTGAAAAATAAAGATAAAATCTGATAAAAAAAATTTTAGTAATGTATTTTAAGTAAATAGTAAAATATTTACATTGTATTTTTTTTTCCCGTAGATTGCACCGTGCTTAACACTAGTCTCTCGCTAGTATGTGCAATTATATATCGATCAATTTGTCGTGGGTATAGATTAGTTATAAAATAAATAAATCACAAACATAATTTAAAATAAAAATAAATTGGGAAAAAAATCAAAAATAGTCCAAATTCAACCAAAAGTTATCAATTTTAGTTCTGATATAAAAAAAACGGTCGTGTCACAGTCGCTACCCAAGCACCCGAGGACTAGGCTCCTCAAAGAAGAAGAATCATCGTTTTCAGGAATTGGTGAGCAAGCTGATCGCCTTCGACAATCCACCGGAGGTAAAGACCACGGAGACTCCAATCCTCCTCCTCCCCGCCTTCAATTTCGACAGAATTTCATAGCATTCGAATCTGCACCGACTTCGGCGAGAGTGGTTACCACGATTTTGTTAGAAAATAGATTTGACGAAATCTGAAATGCGGCGAAATCCGAAAATAAAGAATCAGATAGATGCAAAATCAAATTCGAGCCTAATTAGAATTGAAGAGAAATTTGGCCCTCTACCGATCGCCTCCCAGGATAAAACGAATTGCGAACGAAATAACAGATTCCGCAAACCGAATTAGAATGGAAGAGAAATTCAGAATGAACTTTTGGAATTGATTTATTTCGTCTTATATATTATATTTTTTCAACTTATTTATATTTAATCACTGTCCACGTTCTACTGCACTTATTTATTTATTTTTCAAATAAAATAAATTAATCAAATAAATTATGGGACAAACAATTTATTTCTCTTTCATCTATTTAATTGAATACTCAACGGATTTCACCACCGGTTACCCTAATTTAATTGATTACAGCTCCCAAATTGAAGCGTTCTCACTCCGACTCCAACGGCGCTGGCCGTGTCCGACAATTCCGGCAACCTCCCACCCCGAGGCCTCTGGTGTCCCAATCGAATGCCTAGTGGGAGCATATCAATAGCCCCAATTTCCCTGGTGCCGACTTCCGTGTGCCTTCGGTACGAACCGCACCACCAGGGCCGACCCACGGTAAATAGAGGCTCAGGGCTACGGTAAATAAGAGTTCATTATATATTTATGTTATACATGTATAATTTATATACTCCCTCAATCCCATTGGATGGGTGATATTTATTTTTTCAATTTTTAAATATTAGTATTATTGGATTGTAATAAAATAAAAAAAAAAAACAAAAAAGACAAAACTACTCTATTAGTTAGTACGATGTAAGACGAACTAAAATGAAAAATGATAACATTTCAATGCAACAGGGGGAATATATATAGTTTATTTGATACTCCTTCCGTTCAAATTTTGGAAGATTTTGGATGTCTAATTACAAAATAATCATTTCATTAAATACTTCTTCTTCTTCTTCTTCTTCTTCTTCTTCTTTTTTTTTTTTTTTTTTTTTTTTTTTTTCGCTGCAGCGGTTTTACTTCACATTATTAATTGGGACTATTTTTTATTTTTTTACCAAATAAATTTTCTTAACCCTAGCAGAGCCGCTGCCCTCTTCTTCCTCCTCCGTCTTCGTCCTCTTCTTCTTCTCCGTCTGGCAGCGCTGTTACCGCCGCTATCGAAGCAATATAACAGGTTTGTTCTTATTTTTCTTTTCCTTTCCCTCTTCCCCTTCCTTCTTTATTTTCCTTCTTCCTCTGCTCGCTGCTGCGCTCGTCGGTGGTGAAACAAGACGTCGGGTTTCATACAGTAGTGTTTTTTTTCTTTTTCTTCTTCTTCTTCTTTTTTTTTTTAAATATCTTTCCCTTCTTTTTTCTTCCTCTTCTGCCCTAGCTGCGGTCGCCTTCATAGTCGTGCTCGAAAATGTAGTTTTTGAGAATTACTGGAAATAGTTGTACTTGCTTGCATTTGGAAATTATGCTGTGTATTTCAAATTGATGAAGTTAATCACATTTCTGTACTCTGTCTTTAGCATTTAGTCGTTTCAAATGCTTTCAAAAATTCTAATAAGATCCAAACAATGGATTTGAATTCTGATGGATTTCAAATTCGTTGTATTTTAATCCCATTCAATTTAAACCCTCTAATTCAAAATACATTTTCAGATTCAAATGCATCAAATCAAACATCCCTTAAACTATTTGTATGGCTACTTGCTTCTCGAAATTTCAAGTATTGATTGTTAATTTCTCAGATTTAATTTGGGTTTAGCAATAGCTATATTATGTATCTTTACACTGTTTTGCAATTTAGGCTGTTGAAAGAAAAGTTTCAAATTATCTGACTCCTCGGGTGCTTGATTATGTCAGATATCCAAATTTTCCACAGGAATGAGATGGTTTGGAACAAAATCAGATTGAATCGGGTACAATTGCAATTTTGGTGATTCCTGCTTCTATTGCTGGCTAATATCTTCCGGTGATCTTCCAAAATAACGGTAATGTCTTGATTCAAGGTTTAGGGAATGGTTATGGTGCTCATGCCGATTAGTCATAATCAACAACTCGTATAGCTTGTCAGCACATGGCTTAAAAATACAGCATGCGTTTGTGTCGATTATTAGCATGTGTTTGTGATAACATATTTTGTTTGTTGACATCAATTATTTTCTCAGTTCATGTGTTCTATGTTAATATGTATTTTGTGCTCGCTCAACATAGTAATTGCCGCCCAAGTTTTTATACCATTTGGTGTTTTATGTTAATCCATGGACAGTCTTTAGAGGTTTCGATAAAAATGATTGTTACATATGATGGATTGATGATTAGTGACATCAAAGTATATCCACATGTGGGCTATGAAATCGAATTGAAATAAATAAAGCTAGAGTTTCCGTTCATCGCGAATCTGACAAGTTCTTGTATTTTGCAGCCCAAGTGTTCATTATATTGTTCCAAAAATGGGTAATCTGCCGCCGCCGGATCCAGTTGCTGTGCTCAGAGGCCACCGTGCTTCGGTCTCCGATGTTTCCTTTCATCCTGTCAAGAACATCTTGTTCACTGGCGCTGCAGACGGCGAATTGCGCGTATGGGACACAGCACAACATCGAACAATTGCATCTTCATGGGTTCACAGCGCCGCTCACGGCATCACCGCCGTGGCAGCTGCCGGCGAAGAGAACCGAGTTATTACACAAGGAAGAGATGGAACTATCAAGTATTGGGACATCGGAGAAGGCGGCCTGTCGCGAAATCCAATCACTACCGTCAAAACAAACTCCTACCACTTCTGCAAATTCTCATTAACAAGCAATCCGACTGCAAGAACTCCAGAAACTGTCGATGAAACGCCGTTATTATTCAATGGGCGTAGTTATGTAGCTGCAGCAGGGGAAGATCTCTCGTTAGTCGATCTTTGGGATCTTCAGAACGCCAAAAAGATTTTAACATTACCTCATCCGTCGTCGAGCTTTACTACACGAGCGAGAGGAATGTGCATGTCGATCCGGGCCTTTACACCTGCAAATATTTTGTCGGGCTACGAGGACGGGTCAATGGTTTGGTGGGATTTGAGGAACCCGGGAGTGCCATTGACGTCGGTAAAATTCCACGCCGAACCCGTTCTAAGTTTGTGCGTCGATAGTCTTTGCCGAGGAGGCGTATCCGGGTCTGCCGACGATAAAACAGTGATTTTTGCAATGGATCCGTCGGGGGGCGCGTGTGTGGTGAAGAAAGAAATTGTGTTGGAGAGGGCCGGGATTTCGGGGACGGCAATCCGTCCCGATGGTCGGATTTTTGCGACGGCGGGTTGGGATCGGCGGGTGCGGATTTACGAGTATAGAAGAGGGAAAGGTTTGGCAATTTTGAAGTATCATAACGGGAGCTGCAATGGTGTGTCGTTCTCAGGTAACGGTAAAGTTATGGCTTCGTGTTCGGAGGATTCGACTGTGGCGTTGTGGGAACTTTATCCTCCTATTAGTAAAGATTAGATTAGATTGGGTATGTATGTCTTTATTGAACTTGGAATGTTGTATATATATGGCCAAATTCATCTATGGTCGGTGCGTTTCTTTTATCAAATTTGGTAAATTATGAGGGACATGTTTTACCTAATTGTACCTCTGTCCGGCTTTAAGGGTTTTATTTAGTTTTAAGAGTCAATAAAACACTCTACTTTGTCGGGTGCATCTTATAGTGTTTTTATTTTAGAGTGCGTTAGAGTTGCGTGCGAGGCTGTACTAGCGAGTTCTCGAGAGAGTCGAAGAATCGGAAAGGTGTTCGAGAAGGAACTGTCCGATCTGTTACAAGTGATATAAATTTTTAATATGAAAACATAGTACAATTAAGGGAAAAAGACAATATTTCAAAAGATAAATGAGACTTAGAGTCTAACTGAAGGACTATTTTTTTAAGTTCTTCAATAATATTACAGCTATAAAAAGACTTTGGATGTATTTTTTTAAAAATATATATATTTTTTTCAAAAAAATTAATATTACCTCCGTCTGACTCTAAGAGTTTCGTTGACATTAATTATTACTCTCTCTGTCCCATAACAAAATATTTATTTTTCCATTTTAGTTCGTCCCATAACAAAGTATCCATTTCTTTTTTTTTTTTAAAGTAACTTTACTATCTACCTAAACATTACAAATACTCTTACAACTTACAATATATTATACAAATGTCATTACATTTATATCATGCATACTAAAACTACGTGCAAAAAGCAAATAGATATCTAGTTATAGGACGGAAGGAGTATATGAAAACGTAGTACAAATTAAGGAAAAATTGCAAAAATACTTTTATTAGTGTGTTATAATACTATTATAATGATATTTGTAAAAAAAAAATACAATATTTTTAATGTTAAATACAATCAAATCAATATATCATACAATTGGCAATGAAAGAGTGAATCAAATAAATGAAAGGTTATAAGGGATTAAATGGCGGTTTCTGTCATGTTAAAAAAAAAACTATTTCAATTGGTGATTATGAAGGGAAAAGTAAATAAATAAATAAATTGGCAAATTGCATTATTATTGCAATTTTTTTTTTTCCTGTAAAGTGTATTTGTTTTGTATTTTGATTTAAAAAAATTATTTTTTATATAAAATAAAAAAATTGTATAGATAATATAAAAGTAATAAATATATAATATATTAATTTTTGTAAAGAAATAGGAGTATATTCAAAAATTTTGAGTAAAATGGAAGATAGATACTGATTTTTATTTTTAAAATTAATATAAATATAAAAATACTATGCCCTGTAATTTGTTTAAAAGTTAAAGAAATAATAATATTTTAATATGAAAATAAATATGTATAAAACTCTTGCTTTAATTATATACAAGTTATACCCATACTCTAGTTGCACACATTTATTAACATATACAATATATTTAATTTTTTTTGCATTTGTGCACGATATTTACAAGTAAAATGTACTATATATATAGCGACGGACTTGATTTTCGAAAAGTTCGAAGAGAAACAAAAATCAAGGACTTTTAAATATATATATATGTGTAATAATTTTATACTTATAATATAATATAAATAATTAAAAAAAATAATTTTTCTAACATTTGTAGATACAAAAATATAAATAATAGTATTAATGTTAATTTTATCTAATATTTTTTTTAATACACAAAAAACTCTTTAAACAAAAATCAAAAGCCTCCAAATAAATTAAATGATATTACTTTTTCTTACCTATAACAAAATATAAAAAAGCTTTTTTAGATGCAAAAATTATAAATAATAGTAATAATATTAATTATGTCTAATATTTCATTTTTAATACAAAAACTCTTAAAACAAAAAATAAAGAGCCTCTAAAGAAATATAAATGATATATATATTTATTTACCCGTAGTAAAATATAAAAAAACATTTTTAGATTAAAAAATATAAAATCTTTTTTAATGCACAAAAAATCTTAAAACAATAATAAGGGGCTCTTAATAAATATAAAAGATATACTTTTATACTCTCTTCGTTCTACATAATTTGTCTTTATTTTTTATTTTTGTCCGTCCTACATAGTTTATCTTTTTTTTTTTTGAATATGATTATACATTTTAATCACATTTTATATTTTATAATTTTATTAATATATTTAATTATTTTAATCTTAATTTATAATTATATTTATTATAAAATAATTAATTTTACTAATATACTTCTTAATTACTTACTAATTATGTAAAATCCGTAAAATAATTACCGGAAGTTCTCCGGAGCTTGCTGGAGTCCAAGCTGGAGTCGAACAAATTTTATTTTGGGTCTAATTTATTTTGAGCTTTAGGTGTAAGAAATTAATGAATTGAGTTAAAATTATGAGTAAAATTGAATTTGAACCATTTTTTTTGTCAAAGTAGGATAAAATAAATAATAAAACCCCAGTCTTTTATTTTTAATAAAGTATAAAATAAAATAAAATAAAATAGAGAGGTAGGATAAGGCAGCGAGCCGCCGCCCAACGCCCTCCCTTTGAGGTTTTTTTTCTTCAGAACACTTCTTCTCTTGGATCATTCTTAAGGTAAGTGAGATTAATTTTAAATAAAAAAATATATTCTAATTTTTAGCCCCTTCTATTAATATTTTTCAAAATTATTTTCAAATAGATTTGTCATAACAGTGTTAGGTTTTGTTAATTTCTTCTAAAAAAATTGATTATAATGTCCCATAGGGCTTATGTGAAGATTATTATAGTATTTTAAATTAAAATTTGTTGAATTTGTGGAATAAGTTTGAAACTCTAATTTTGTCCTAACCTAGTTATGTTTTTTTTTTTTTTTTTTGAAAAGATTTATGTCTATTGGGATGAGCATAATATTCAAATGTTTATTTGGCGAAATAAAGTGAAATTTTAACGAACTTGTTGGGTTTTAATATTCCACCTTTTGGTTGGTTAAATGTTGACCATTTGAATGCCTTGAGGTTAAAGTTCTTTCTAAAATTTGTCTAATAGTATGTTGAGTATTTGGTCAAATTGGTAACTGAAACTACTCGTCGAGTCCGATCAACTCGTCGATTGTTTGGATGATAACGTCAAGGGATCGAGATAGCAGGTTCCTTTTTTGGGTGATCCTGAGGTGCCCGTCATTCACGATGAAAAGGCCCTTAGACCGTCATCCGTGATGGAGGGATGGATTGCGTACAATCCCCTCTTGGTATGTTATATTGGAGACTAAAGGGTTGTGGCTGGCGCCCCTCGCAAACTAACAAATAAATTGACTTACGTATACTTTGGGCTTCGAACCCTTAGATACACATTGTGGAGCTTTTCTTGAGGGCTGTGACCCTATATTTGTTATGTGTAATCATGTGACGTATCATACGAAGTAATAAGGTTGGAAAACCGGGTCGAGCTGGCCCTAATTAAGGCCTAATGGAGTTTTCTTCACGATGTGTTAATCACCATTATTTGAGAATGAAAATGAGATATAAGAGAGGCGTTAAAAGACTTGTGTGTGTAAGTTATCTTTATGTGATATGTGACATTTTATTCAAATTATCATTTTCAAATGATTTTGTGGCTTTATATCGTATTAATTTATCTTTGATCAATTGTGCTTACTCAACCTTCGTGTTGACCTTCTTTTTACAAACTTTTGTAGGTGATGGTGTTTCTATTATACATAAATGATGAATTCACGTCATATGATCCATTTGGGGAATTAGAACTACTTTATCTTTTAGAATGCTTTTGAAATCCATTAATTATGTTTAAGGATTAACAACTTTTGAACTATTTCCCACTTATGTTTTTTTACACGAACTTTACTTATTTAATTGATAAGCCATTGTGCTTTAATTTTAAATTCATATTTAGTTGTTTGTACTCATTATTTTTAGCCTTAGCGCCACAACGTAAGACTAGTTGGTTGATGAACAAGCCTTCCGATGTGGCGTGACGGTGACACTTCGGTTTGAGCCAATCGTGGTGTTACAGTTGGTATCAGAGCCTAGGTTAATGACTCATGTTTCTTGATTAATAAAATTTGAAGGATTTCGGAATTTCTAAAATGAATTAGATTATGGGTTTAGTCAGGTTTGGGTGCATTCATGGAATGCATTGCATTTTATTTTTATTCCGTGTGTTTATGTGCTTTGGTTATGCTATTTGATTAGTTAAAGCTTATTAGGTCTAGTCTTGATTAGAAGATCGATTTCAAGGACAAAATGTCCTAAGGGGTAGAGGATGTAATACCCCATAAAATAATTGCCGAAGTCCGAGCTGGAGTCGGACAAATATTATTTTAGGCCTAATTTATTTTGGGCTTTTGGTGTAAGAAATTAAGGAATTGGGTTAAAATTATGAGTAAAATTGAGTTTGGACCATTTTGGGCCCAAGTAGGATAAAATAAATAATAAAGGTCCGATTCTTTTATGTTTAATAAAGTATAAAATAAAATAAAATAGAGAGGCAGCAAACAACAGCCAGCCACCTGCCGACCAGGGCCCTCCCTTTTTTCCTCGGAGGCTTTTTTCTCTGGATCTCCTCTCATTTTGGATATTTCTTAAGGTAAGTGGGATTAATAGATGATATGTTCTAATCTCTAAGCCCCTTCTATTGATATTTTTCAAAATTATTTTCAAATAGGTTTGCCCTAAAAGTATTAGGTTTTGCTAATTTCTTCTATAAAATTGATTACAATGTCCCCTAGGGCTTATGTGAATTTTATTATATTATTTTAAATTGAAAATCGTAAAATTTGTGGAATATGTTAGAAACCCTAGTTTTGCCCTAACCTAGTTATGGTTTTTTTTTTTTTTTTTTGGGAAAAGATTTATGCCTATTGGGATGGACATATTGTTCAAAGGTTTATCTGGCAAAATAAAGTAAAATTATAACGAACTTGTTGGGTTTTAATATTTCACTTTTGGTTGGTTAAATGTTGACCATTTGAATGCCTTGAGGTTAAAGTTCTTTCTAAAATTTGCCTAATAGCATGTTGACCATTGGTAATTGAAACTACTTGTCGAGTCCGATTAACTCGTCGATTGTTTAGATGATAAGGCATAGTCTTCCACCT